GTCTACACTAGATCAGCATTGTTCCACACTGAAATTTCACAAAACAATATTTAAAAAATGAAAACTAACTTTGGGTTATTCCGCTTTGCAGTACGAGCTCGCCGGTTGGGATTGGCAAAAGTGTAGACGATCTCCAACTCCGCTCAGTCTTTAGTTTCGCCAAAGCCATTTATTTGCAATTGGAACGGTTCTTGTAGCGTGGCATTCTGGGCGCATACTTTATTACACACTTCCTGCGATTTGCTTTCCTTCTGTCAGTATCCTGTCGATAAAAAGTCCAGTAATTTTGAAGGCGCATCTGCTCTCCAAAAAGGGTGTGAGTGTCTGCCGAAAGCAGTATACACTCATTGTTTTGCATGTCTCGCGAATCAGAAACTCACTTGACCCCGCGCACAGCTCCAACGGTACCCAACGACGCTTGCCAGGGTGCAATAGCAAGTAGGCTTTCTTATACAATGTTTTTGATAGTAAGACTACGGTCTCCTTCTTATAGCACGTGACGTCAGTAATTGTACTGTACACTACAGTGGGTGACATACCTTTGAGAAAATGAACTAAAAATAAAGCCGTTTTTTCGACTTAGCGTCTAGTTGACAGACATACCTTTGAAAACATATACCAAAATTTAGCCGAATTTCCATTTAGCACTTATAATTGGTGCAGTTAAACCGTTATGACTTGGGCTTGGGAAGGGGGCTTTCTGCAGTTTGCATGGCAGCTGTCGCCCAAGTTTTTTAATGTAAACAAAATAACAAATATCGCATTTTCTTACATGCTACGGTACCTTCCAGTTTCTTGAGCAAATCGCTGGCGCGACGGCTGCGCTACTCTCCGACACGCTTGGCGCGGTGCTTAATCCACACTTTTTCCAAATATCACCCCAAAAGTGGCGCACTTTAATGTCTTTGCATCTCTTCTTGTGCTCGGGAAAATAAGTGCAGGAGACTGCCTTCTCACACAGCTGGCACTCCTTTGACGCAGCGCTGCCGTAAGCCGTCCTCGACCTGTTAGAAATTGTAATCGTAGCTTCAATCGGATATTCCTGATTGTCTGATATTAAGTAAATGTAATTAACTTTTTCTTGACTGCAGTCAACATTGTGTTCTCATCCGGTGCACTCACTCTCTTCTCTCGCATCTGTACACACGATCCTTGTCCTGCCCCATACTGTCCGGCACCGCGGTTGTGTCATCTTTTGCTTCTAAGGATTTTGTTCGCTTGTTGGACGCAATGTATATTCTGATTGGTTAAATATTTTGTTGTATTAAGTTATTTTGGGGTTGCGTCAGTGAAAGAAGCTCCAACACTTAGCTCCAAAATTACGAAGGGTCGTGCTGTCCCACTGCAATCTATTTTTAGCCGTCTGATTTGACCCCTTATTCCGATGTTTGTTGTCCCAAAATCTTGTACTAATCCAAAAACTAAAGTCTCTCCACACATATCCCGACTAGAATTTCAATACTTGTACGCAAACTTTGCCGACCTCTTGTTGCTTTTGCAGAAATGACGCAGCTCATCATATCACTCGCTGTAGCTAGCTTCAGAGGAGCTATATGCTGCATATTTCAATATTTTAGCATAGCAGCTAACGCAAGCAAAATAGAGATGGATGTACCAGTAGAGCAAATTTTTCATCAGACCCAGCAGCCCGTCACGTTCAGAGACGTTCAGCCAATGCAACGATTACTTTATAACGTTCTTCAAATGTACAATCGTGTGGCACTAACACATCAATTTATTCACCCTTGAGGACTCCTTCAATACACACCTGTCCAAGAAATCCATGTCAAATTTCACTGACGCTACTTGCAGCCGTCTACCGGGTTCAGAATCGGAATCGCCAAGTTCTTCCCGTTCGTATTCTCCCTCACTATCGGCCAGAGCGAAGTCTTTTCGCACCCGTCGTCCTTCGCGATGCCAGGCAAGCATGTGGTTCAGCTCGCCCTTGCTCTCGCGTCTCCACTTCCGTCCTATTACGTCTAGCCATTATCATACTTTTGTGGCAGTCCACTCACACTCAACGTAGCCGTGCACAAGTGAGACAGAAATTTTACCGCGCATGCCGTATCCCTTTGCCGTAGACTGACGAGTAAAGTGAAGACGCATCCAGCATAAACTTGTCATTTGTTTGCTAAATTGAAACAGTGCGAAGTTATGTATAGGTTGTGGCTACATCAAAAATCTTCATTCTATCAATGCGTCCGGCTATACGTTGTTGCAAACGCACATCAACGATGCGCATTTTTATTATGACCAATAGGAGCGATTCAATTGACTGCATTATGCATTGTTTCCTGCGAGCAGACGTGAATAGCGCTACCTACACAGCTGTAGCTGAAGATCTTTCTTAAGCACCATGTTCGATTTCGCCTTCATCACTTCCTGCTCCATCATCACCGGGAGCCGGCCGTCCACTTACCTGACGTCTTTTCTTATTGCCTGGTCGCAACAGAGGCGGTCGGGCGGGCGGCCTGTGCTCTTGCTGGAGCTCAATTGGGGCGGCATTCCCCTTGTTCCGATATGTGTGCCAATGTCGAAGCACGTGCTTACTCTGCCTTCACGATGCGCATTACAAAGGTATTTTCTGTAGTATTGCATAACGCATGAGTCTAATGTACACAAATTCTGATCACGCGTACAGAAGCATACCAATACAAATACAAGTTAGCTGTATCCGATTGGGTGATATTATTATCCTTTTGCAATGGGTTGTTAGTAGTACTGTGACTCTGGAAGAGAAGATCGTAATCCAAAAGAAAATCGTTGCGCTGAAGCGCGAGAAAGAATTCCGTAGCTTCAGCACGAGAAACTCCGTCGACAGTGCATGGGTGATTACCCACGAGGTCCACCCAACGTTCAGTAGCCGTGGATGCAAGACCAGTGTCACCAAGATGATAAAGCGCCGCGCGAAATGCGTCCGTGAAGCAACCACCAGCAGGAGAAGATTGGTCGCGACGCGCAAAATGCTTCTTGTAATAATAGGCGAAGGCACCTGGTTACAGATCGTCACGTCATTGCATCACTTAATCCATGCGCCGAGCGAAGTGTTGGTCGAGTTGCTCTTCCCATACCCAGCTCAACCGAATCGGAGTAATCGGTCATTCCACCAGGAAGCAGCGATGCGGAGATTCACCGCGAACGTCGTGCAGATGCTCAATATTGACTGGAACCGAGTAATCCCATGGTGCCGCCGGGTCTTAGTGATTCACACCACCATTGGCGGGGTACTTCGCCGGAGCCCACGTCAAGGCATACGGATGCCAGTCACCAGAGTCGACGCTGGGCTTCGGCGATTAGGGCTACCAACAGGTACAGTCTATCATCGCTGTCATCATCAAACAGGCCGCTTACGGAGGGAGTGGAGGATGGTGGACACACCGCGCGCGGACCGTCCGAGTCGCCCTCCTCTGATTATTCATCTGAGCTGTCGAAGAGCGGACCCCAATGCAGTTCCTTCAAGCGGTTTAAAATTGACTCGCCAGACACGTCCGACGCCACGGAAGTGTCGTCCAAAGGTGATGATGGCGCGAAGCTCAGCGCTGGCGGTCGAGAAACGGCGGACGAAGCAGAAGCGGGCGAGGCGCTGAAGACCCGATAGGAGACGGAGGTGACAGCGGCGATAGTAGCTGTGGCGACGATAACGGTGGTGGCGACGGTGAAGTGGGCGGCGTTGTAGCTTGATGCTTTGCGGCCGTTTTCAATGACGACCCAGCCAAAAAGGTGCGTGCCAGCCGTGCCTTAGTCGCACGGAGCCCAGCAGTAGACTGGAGCTCAACCAAGAGAGTACGAGAGGAAGCAGACGGGCGTGATGAATCGATACTGACCGCCTCGGGCTGGAACCCACTCAATTCCAGTAAAGCCACGGCTGTAGGCGAAGATGGCACCGGCTCGAGCGAGTCCCTGTTGAGACGGCCTACTTCGCCACTTTTGTTTTTCGAGAATGAAGGCTATGAAGAGGTGGTGGCTGTCAGAGGGAGGGTAAGTGCAGCCGATCGGGTAATTTTTTTATCTTAACGCAATGGGTAGTTTGTGATACTATGGAATGTATAGTATTGTAACTAATATACAGACAGATGCAGGACGGCTGTGGAAGCTTTTAGAAGCTTCCATCCGTCTGAACAGCGGCAGGGGCACTTTTCGCTTGGCGCGCTCTCGTCCAAGCTCCCCTGACTTCAATAAATTAGCACTATGTAAGATACCCTCGCAGGGCCTATCACGTATGTTGATATCAAATCAACATAAGTACTTAGGCAAAACAAAACAAAAAAGCCGTGGCAAGTAATCATTAGCTTGTCACAACCTTCGTGAATGCGTACATACCTCAAGCAATATGCTGCGTTTGCACAGGCAGCTCCGAACACCTTTGTTCCCCGCTTTTGGGGCTTGTCCTTGTTGAATATATGCATAGGATTGCACCAGGAGCGCCACGGCGACGTGGTCTCATCGAAACTGATAGCGAGGGGGGGTTGTATCTTGCGCGAATGTCCGCTGTAGCACGTCCATCACGGGCAGGATTTTTCACGCTCGGTCCATACGAGCTTGGCGTGGCTTGTTGTTTAAGAAATGCAGATTTCCCATAATATAGAAGAATCTGTTCTTCGGCATGTACACGCCGAAACCGTTTGTCGGTTAGGCGCCAATCTTCGTCGTATTGGCGCCAGCAGTCTGGCGATTAGCAGTGCAATTACGGGCAGCACGTCCCTGTGCTTTTTTTCCGGCACAACATAATCACTAGTACACTAACGCTTCCATTCAAGTCTTCGAAGTGAATTGTTGCAGAAAGAAGTAGCACTTCTTTCCACTGGTGCGAAAATCCGACCCGTCTGTTTCTGGCTAAATCAGTACATTTTGCCCAGTGAGCGCTTAGAGAGCGGAGACCCACCGAAGCGAAGCGTAGGTCGGGGGCGCGGCGCGTAGCGCGGAGTACATGTACACAAAAGAAGGTTCTATCTATACCGGAGCCACCGAAGCGAAGCGGAGATCGGTGACTAGGGAGCGCTCTAGCGTAGCGAAGCGAAGCGGGCGCGGCTTAGCGCCTCGCCGCGATCAGCGGCGATATGTACTGAGATACGTTGTTAATACTCGATTAAGTACGAATCGCACAGATTTTCGCACGGAATCTAGATACTGTCGCACCAGTGGGAGAAGTAATTTGATGGACTTTTATGTCTGGGTTTCCTTGAAATGAGCTTTTGAATACTTTGAATTTTTGTTTCACTCGGTCGTCTGTATAAATCGCCACATCTGCTGCCGGGTATTCTTTGCAAAATTCTCCAATGTAGTCCGTGACGGAACACACGGCTGGTTCGTCACTAGTGCTTTTAGAAAATCCACATACTGCTGCTTGATTCGGAATCGTATTTTCTGCGGTTGTTGAAGCGCTTCATCTCTAGTGGGTGCCCGCTTTTGTTGCCCAGAGGACAGCCTTGAAATCGCGGTCCGAACCTCACTTTCACTAGGAATATCATAGCGATTGGGTACTTGGCCTGCAGAGCCTCACTCGTTCTTGCGAGGTCCATCCTTTTCGACTTTTTATCTCCACCGCGCTGGAACATTGGAGTCACTTCCTCAACATACAAAGATACATACTTCGCGCCATACATGTTTCCTATAGGTAGCCGTTGCGCCCAACCTTGAAGGAGTTCGGTTTGAGGAAAGTCTCCGGGGAACCGAGCAAAACGAGTCATCATCTGCTGTGATGGAGCAGACAATTTAGGGACATCTAGCGATCCAGCGTTTTTCGTGTCGATAAGATTTTGCTTTCGGTAAGCTGCCACACTTTCTTCTATGATGTTTTTTGCGCGTAGGCGGGAGTCCAAATACTGCGTCATGAGCGCATTCCCCCGAATTTACCCTGCGTGTAATTCGCGCTTCCGTGGTCAAACTATAATCTGTTAGACGTCCTACAACAGAGCGAGGAAGCAAACACTCGGCTGATAGATCTAAATTACCATCAACTTCGTCAATACTCTCTGTATCACTGACACAATCAGCTATTTCAAAGCCGCTAAGCTGACCTGCCGACCCTGCAACATCATTGATGTCGCTGTCGTTGCTGGTATACAATTCTTCACCATCATCATTAACATCGACAGCACCATTATTACTGGTGACGTGCGCCACAGTACCACCGACATAAAAAATTATCATCAGTACAAGTACCCATTTTTTGCCTCATAGGAGTCAGGTTCGGTTGGTCCATCAGGACTCAAATTCATACATGTTCCAGCGCTAACGTCAACTTCCAGATACTTACCACTTCCTACTCCGAGTAGGTGAATGCTCGAATGCTAATTTTGTGGCAAGCTCTCAGGCTAAATGCTTCGTCACCTCGTAATTTCGGTGGTACTCAGTAAAATTTGTCGTACACGTATAGGACGTCATTTAGTCGGCCAGTCACTGCAGCAAAAATCTTCTCAATGAGTAGTATAACATTGGATAGAAGATTGAACGACTTTCGATCATACGCAACAATCTCTGCCATCGTGTTTGGCAAACCTTCACCGGAAATTTGCGCAGCGACTACTGAGTGAAGTGTTGTACAGTTATGCTCTTGGTTTACCGGTGCTTTACCTTCCTCATCGCCCCAGCGAGCTGTGCATCAAAAAACGACTGTCCATCTTGCGTTTTAGTGTGGACAAACCGAACTACTTCCATTCCGGTTGCATATCGGGGCTGTGGAAGCACAACAGGAAGAAATGAGTTCTGGTAACTAGACGCGCTGTCGCTCTGCACCACAATCCAATTGATCTGCGGTGAATCGCGCTTGATATCAATCACCACGGCTTCACCGCTCTTTTTTTAATTTAATTTTATTTCTAAGTAATATAATAATAAATTACTTAGAAATAAAATTAAATTAAAAAAAAGACGTTAATCTTAATTTTTTTTCTTAAATGGATAGGTGATCGAGTGGTTTAAGGTGTCAGTCTTTAGGTTGTAAAGCTCTTTCATTAAGGAGGAAAATGTGATTATAGGTTTTTGATTGTTTTTATTATATTTATATCTTAATGCGTTCAATAATACCGACTATTCCATTTACACCAACAACATCAATAGATTCTCCAAGTGAAATTATAAGATTTCGAGATATTTATTACGCTTTCTTTAAAGGATGGCTGCTTCCAAAGGTGGGGTTAATCAAGATTTACCGAAAGTTGAGCTAATAGCAATTGTTGAGCATAATGGTAAAAGCTTGCTTGACTACAGGATCAAACTGCTTTTTATCCTGTCTTATCTGACTCAGCTGTGTGCTTGAAGTAGACTTTTTTCTTCTGAGATGTCATCAGATGAGTTGGAATTAGAATTAGAAGCAGCCCAAAAGTGAACCATTGCTCCATGCCAAGTCATTCCACGCTTACCATAATGTTCCCGTGTTTTTTACGGTGGCAGATATGGTCAATTTTCATCTTGAAGTCGATGGTCACAACTGCTTCGTTTAGAGTACCACCTTGTGCCGCTCGCGCACTCGTGTTGTCCAGAAGTTTCGAAAGCGCCCGATGCTGCTGTACTACACGAAGTCGATGATTCAAGAATAGCTCAATAAATTCGAAGCGATTGTGAAACACTGACATCGCACGTGCGTGGGCATCCTTGTTGCACTTCACCTTCTCAGCGATATGGTTTAGCAGCGCGTGCATACCCAAACAAGGCCCGCAACACACCGTTTGTTTGTGCTTTTCGCAGTTATGTGGGGATGTTAATCCATAATTGGCTTTGTGTCGTGGGCAGTTGTTAACAGCTGAAAATGCTTGATCTTCTTTGAAACTCGGTGCTTATTCGAAACTCCCGTATTTTATCCAGTTCCGGAGATTATCCATGCAGCGAATCAGCTCATCTTTTTCATCAGGAACCAAATCGGAGATAAGCGTTTCAATGTATTCATGCTATTACTGACTACAGTAATAGTCCGGAAGCATAATCAACAACAGCTCGCAAGTCCGTTTGTTCAAGGGTTACAGCATGACACAGCCTGTAGAACGCTCGTCGAGATATATGAGAGGAGTGGAATCGTCGCAGTAGTGGTCGTGATGCGGATTTTTTTTCAAAATCGCTGGTACAATGTGATGCCACTAAGATCAATTCGTTTTGATCCCAAGAAATACAGATTAGATTTGCGTGAGAGAGAATAGATCGTATTGCAAGATCAATGACTGTTCATTCTTTCTTGTCAAGCCCTCCTTCTTGCAATTTATCCAAATCTGAGATACCGGATCTGTAGGCATCTTTGCCAAGAAGAAATCCTGGATATGGTGCATCCATTGAGCTCAGATGGCTCCGAAAAAAAATCCATAGAGAATCGCTCGCACGTTGCGGTGCTCCAGTGGTGTCCAATTAGCTGAAGACAGGCCATCGGCAAGTACGCCAAAACGCTTGGATGCCTCTTCAGTTGGCAACGAGTAAACACTATACTTTGTTCGCTCCCTGCGATTGAAAGGGCTGAGCGAAGCTCTCCCTGATTCCTCCCCTCATAAGAATTCGGCAACAGACAGGCAAATTTGCTGGTAAGCTGTGAACACGGTAGTCTTTGGTTTGTTCGTGACCATATCATTTTCCCAGATGTCCGTATCAGCCCCTTGTTTTCACATTCCTGATACTTTTGGATATGCTTCCAATCGTTTGAGATTCAGCACTGACATAGTGTAAAATGTCGCGATACGCACGTTTTGTCCACCCCGCTGGTGATTCGTGTTCAATCGGAAGTCGCTTCAAAGATGCTGCTCTGCGTGGACGGCCACCTTGACGTTGTTTTCAAATCTGGCGCAAAGGCTTCGTTGGACCAGCTTGCTGAACAGCACCACAACCGTCTTTAACACATCCACTACTAAAAGCTTCATCATCCACAAGCCGCATCCGAGTTCGACCGTGCTCGACTTCGGTTGATCGCTGCCTATAGCACCATATTGTCTTTGGTCGTCAGCATGACCCACATGTATGCTCCTACTGCCACCGTGGCTACTTCTAGGTGGCTGTATGAACTTCCTAACAACACCTTCGCGTCGACGACGAAGATTTATCTCTACAGGAATACCGTCATGGCCACAGCCACACCGAGAACAACGCATGCATTAAAAGCAACGAGCTACTTTATAGATGCAAAGTATTATCGGCGGTGAGAGCATCGAGATGACGCGGTCGCGCCAAATAACTCGCCCTCGCGAAGCTCGTTCCAGTTCCTCTGGGGTATGCCACGTTATGTAAGCTTCAAATCTGTCAAGCTCATAATTCTCTCTTAAATTTTTAAACCCCATTGTGTTGCCCACACAAAGTTTCTTTTCGGTACAGCCTATTGATGGATGGTTTCACCAGTACCGGGATCCAGCTCCTGTCATACAGTACAGTACTGCACCCCGTTTTCCGGGGGTAGATCATATAGATTTTTGCAAATAAATCATATCTTAGCATCCCAACATTAGTTCATTTGCATTCAGGATCATCATATCCGGAAGCTTATCAAAGGTTCAAGGCCGCAAAAACGGGGTGCAGTACTGTATCAAGAAGCTCATAAAAAGCCACAACCAACTTGGTTGTGGCTTTTGATACCTGCTTGGTTGAACCAAGCAGGTTTTCGATCTAAGCTTATGCATCCTTGCTTGTAGATTCAATTTTAAGCTTTTATTTTGCAAACGAACTTATTGTATTGATGTCGTCCACATGTGTACCAAATCTTACCCCTCTAGTGGAGTGTGTTGTCTGTCCGTAAGTCCGTCCGGGGGTAGGGCTAATAAAAATCACGCTAATGCGGGCGTTCTACTGGCTGCCGAGCGCAGCGAAGGCGGCGTCGATTCGCTAAAATGCTGCCGAGCGCAGCGAAGGCGGCCTCCATTGGCTAGAACATAATTATGTTTTAGACACATTGTATGTGGACTACACATCGTACTTAAAAGCACCGTTCAAATTTTATTTTGCCCCCATTTTCAAAACAGAAGCCGCGGAACGCCACGTTACTCAAGGTACGCTGCGTGTATGCATGTTAGTTAACATTAGTAGCTAGCAAGACACACATACACAGATAGTCCGAGGTTCCTGGGGCTGCTTAGGGGGTAGCTTATAACTTGCGGGATTTTATCCTGCAAGTAGGTAGCCGTGCTATGGGGATTTAGTTCCAGAGCCCTCTGGGTTCTTAGGGCTTTATCCCACCGCCCACTCTGCGCGAGAGCACATTTGGCACCTGGTCCATTGACCGCAAACCCGACAGCGAACCAGTTGAGCCGGTCGTTAATGGTTATTGATGGGCACGCACATTGCGTGCGTGCAGTTGGTCAGGAGGGGTACCGTAACTGGCCTCTTTTAACCGACAGATGGGATGGGGGCTGTAATAGCCTATCAATAACCAGCCTTTGCAATTAACGGCCGCCTTATGGCAAAAGGATATCGCACCTCAAGCTACAGTACTATCCGGGGGCCCAACCCTGAAGATTCGACTGCACAATTTTGCAAACTAAAACCGCTCCGGGCCTCACGGCCCGTGACTGTGGGATAAGTGATCGGAGATAACCTTGATGGGGGCAAGCAATCCCGGGTAGTACGCGTATTCCAACACACTACTCTATGAAAACCTACTGCTACGTGCGGTGTACTTAGACATTGTCTAACGCGTCACGTTTTCGTGTTCGCAGAACTATGGGTCGGAGTAAGCGAAAGAGGACGCGCGAGGAGCTCGAGGAGGCTCTGCGCGAGAATGAACTGATCAACGCGACACCCACGCAAGAGGAGAAGGAAGCACGAAAGCGACGCATGAACAAGCGCAGGAGGAAGCGATGTGACTTGAACAAAGCGCTTCAAGCCCTCAGTGTGCACCAAGAAGCTACGGCGGTTACGGAAGCTACGGAAGGTCTAGCTGATCGTATTGAAGAGCGGGAGGAAAAGACAGAAGAGTCCGATCCTGTGGTACTTCAGCGCCGGTTTGCAGCTGAGATGGAAGCGGCGTACCAAGCTGAAACTGAAAATATGGCTTTGTTTACAGTACCTGCCGTATCTGAAGCAGCGGTTCGTGAAGACGTCCCGGTATCGGCTGCGCAGCGGGCTAGCGACAAAAGAGCTAATAGGACACTGTCTCAGGCAGATCGCGACCGAGCACGCGACGCACAGCGAGCTCGAACGAGACGAAGTAATATGACACTGTCTCAGCGTGACCGTGCGAGGAAGAAAGACGCTGAGCGCAAGCGTATCCAAAGGGCTAGGCTGCGCGGGGAGGAGCTTCAGGAACGACGTGAGCAGGACAGACATCATGTGGCGTCACACAGAGAAGGGCTGACGCAAGAGCAATGTCAACACGAACGCGACCTAAACCGTGAACAGCACGCACTTCGGCGTGGGCAGATGGAGGGGCACCAAAGGGAAACGGAACGTGAACTAGACCGACAGCGGCAGGCCATTCGAAGAGCAGGGGTGACGGAAGAAGAACGCCAGCAGGAACTCGAGCGTGTGCGCACTAGACGCCAATGCACCCGTCATGGCCATGCTCTTATTTCCCATGAAGACTTTGACGTGTCCATGATAACGGGTAACGACGTGGTGAACGGCCGACACAAGCTCCCGGCTACAGCCGTTTGCCCGATCTGCAATGCTTGGAAGTGGCCTGGCGAGTCTGCGATATCATGCTGTCTGGCAGGCAGGGTAAGGCTGCCTCCACTACACCCCGCGCCGCGGAAGCTGCTTCAGCTGTACGGGGACCCCGAGTTTCGCCGTCAAATCCGTGCCTACAATCAAGCTTTTGCATTTACGTCGATTGGTGCTTCGTGCTCAAACCGATAGTTTCAAAATGTGCATCAAGACGAGAGCGTTGCGGGTACACACCGGGTGTACACATATCGCATTCAAGGGGCTATGGGGCACTACCTAGGGTCTCTCCTCCCCCACATAGACCGTCGGACAGGCGCGCGGGTAGCACCCAAGTTTGCGCAGATCTATATTGTGGATCCAGACATGCAACACCGCGCGGAGCGACGTCTTGGTATATTCGCGGATTTGGATCGTGTTGCACTACTAGACATCGAGAAAATGATGGCAGAGCACAACCCATTAGCGCAACGGTTCCTCCACTTTGGGCAGCAGGTGCGTCAACACAACACGGAGGCTCCAGTAGACTTGGTGTTCCGTCTGCACGACAACTCCTCGCGACCGAGGACGCATAACCGCCCCAATGTGTCTGAAGTGGCTGCGACTCTCATTGAGGATGGCAACCTGGCTCAGCCTCGGGATCTACTTCTCTTTACACGCGATCAAAGGCTGCTACGTTTGTATGAGACTCACGCCGATTACGATCCACTCCAATACCCGCTTCTCCTTCCATATGGAGAGAAGGGCTGGACCTACACAGACGAGTTCGCGAATGGTGCTGAGTATCGAAACAAGAAGGCGATGTCGCTTCGTGAACACGTTGCGTTCCGCCTTCATCAGAAAGTGGATGATCAGTCCGCTCTCCACCAAGGTGGGCGTCTATTTCAACAGTGGTGTGTAGATCAGCGTGCAAAATGTGAGCAAGAACAGCTTCGCTGGGTGGCCGACAATCAGAAAACACTTCGCGCCGATCAATACAGGGGTGTTCAAGACGCCTTGCTCAATGAGGATACTTTGGCTCTGGCGGAAGGAGAAGTGCTGCTGTCGGAATATGACCGGGCCCAGAACAGATTGGTGC